CAGGAAGAACTTCCTGACTATAAGAACTATTCAGCAGTGGAACTCTCTGCCATTGAGTGTGGTGGAAGCTCCTTCTTTGGAGGCTTTTTAACAGAGGGTGGATGGTCAACTGTCAGGGGTACTTTGTGTTTTTTCTGCATGGCAGAAGGTTGGACTGGATGGAGGCACTTTATACTGTTTTAAATATTTTAAGATTTTACTTATTTTAAGTGATTTTAACTGACTTTTTGAAAACAATTAATTTTAATATTTATGTGTTGCAGATCTTAAATTGCGTTGTTTTAATGTTGTGCACCACTTTGGGTCTTGATCAAGAGAGAAAAGCAGGATATAAATATAATTCTAAATAATAATCACCATCATCCATTACATATGTGATGTCAGGACGGATGCCTGCGTGGCAGGCAAGAAGAAGGGGAGACCCACCCCCTTCTTTTTGTTGGTCATGCAGGCATCCCATTGTAACATCACTGACGTGGTAAGCGATAGCCATGCACTCGAGTGGAAGTTGTCTGGACAGTAGCACTGGATTCAGCCCATACATACACAATCCGTGGCTCCTCTGGCCCAAATTTACATTCTAATCTTCTTTCCTCCTTCCTTATCAGTATATATGGCTCTTAAGAGTACCAGAGGACAGATCCTTGTCCTACAGAGTAAAGTGAGAGAACTGGGATGACAGTTACCCAGAAAACATGTATTTTCTTTTCTGTTATATATGCTTGCATATAATGTGCATTTTTGTGTATGGTGTAGATAATCACACTATATTCTTCTCCTGTAACTGATATTCTTTGGAAAGGCCATTTACATTAAAGGTGCTGTTTTTACTTGATGATGTCAGGTGTCCTCCCAAAGGTAAGTGTGGAACAAAGAAGGAGCAAATGGAATTCTGGAAATACAGATATTGGTATGTACATATTTTAACTATAAACTCCAAGACTTTGTAGCATGAAGCCATGACAGTTAAAGTTATGTCAAACCACTAATTCTATAGTGTAGACACACCCTAAATTTGAATCCCAGTCCTAGTCTTTTGGATCCACCTTGCTCCAAGCTATTAAAAGCTGCTGTACGACTGTGTTGCATGTATCAGGGACAGGGAATGGATAGTCGTCTAGATGTAGATGAATTGGAATCCATAGTATTGCTTACCATTCTCTGATGGAAACTGTAGTTCGAAAATATCCGAAGGGTCTGACATTCCCTCTCCTTGGTCAATATGGATCTTGAAGGCAGAGATGACCACATTTCTTACGTCTAGCTGTCAAACAGTGGTTTTTTAGGGAAACAGGAATCTAATATGGGGAGCTTTACTGGACGTTGATGGAAAGAGAACAAGGAAAAGTGAAAGTCTAATTTTTCTGAGAAGAGAGTTCAAGAGTTTGAGAAGGCCCTTTTCCATATTCTCAGCAGATGCACTTCTGAATGTAGTGAGACAGAGAAAAGGCCTTCCTTAGCAGATCCCAAAGCACATATTGGTTCATAATGGAGATTATAGTCAAATAAAGGCATGATGTAGAACATATATTCCTTAAACATCTAAACTCCCAAGACAGTGCTGTTAGATACATACTAGGGGTCACTATCTATCTATCTATCTATCTATCTATCTATCTATCTATCTATCTATCTATCTTGCAAAAAGAAAATAAGTTCTTTTAAAGTTTTTCAAGATATATTTCATTGCCTGGTCTCAGTGTGCCTTCCAACCTCTAGGCATTGCTTTCTAAGTGGCTAATGGTGTTGGAAGCAAGTCTGTTTTCTCGGTACTTGAATGATATTTATAGAATAAACAAATAATTGCAATTGGGTGGAATTCTGGATAATAGCCTTGAATGTTCAATGTGACATATGGCATTATTATTACTATGTACTTATACAGCACCAGAAATATACTAAGCTCTTTACAAAAGGGTCAGATAAACAGGTTTCTGTCTAAAGCAGCTTAAATAGACATGAATCAAAAGGAATTGCTGGTGGGGGCGGAATGGAAATGGCAATAGAATGGAAATAATAGCATAAGATTAAAAATTGGGGGCAGGGGGTGTTGCATTTTGGTTTACAAAACATAGTCTGGGGATGAAGCTTCACAATATGAGGAAGTAACAAAAGGTAATATAGAAAAACATACATAGGTGAGCCTGCCAATCTAAGATGTATTTAGAGGGAACACATTAGGTCTTAGGGACCATATTGGCTCGAGTCAAATGCTTACCTTTTTTGGTTAAATTATATTGCCACAATTGAGGTGCACATTAGATTTGATGGTGTGTTAGAATCGCACACATAAACCCACCTGTGTGAAAATGCCTGGAAGAACCTGGAACCGATAGGCTGGATGGGGAGTCAAGAGTGCGAGGCTATTTTCAGCAGTGGCGGTAGCCTCAGGGCTCCATAGCACCTGGAGAAGGAGGAAGAGCACCAGATTGGTGACCCAATTGTTCCTGCCACTTAGCTATAGATCCTGCACTTTCACAATTGAGGTGTGCATTACATTCTTTGGCATATATCCAAGTAAATATGGGTATGTTTAGCACTGCAGATTTAGATAGCAATGTTGCATATAAAATGAATTTACTAACATATACAGATATATGGGAGTAAGGATGTATCCACACTGTACAACTGTAGCAATTTAATACCACTTTTATCTATACAGATCCATTCTTTGGAATCCTGGGCTTTGGCTTCTTTCCCAGAGAGCAGATGAATGTAATGTTTGTTTGTGGGATTAACATAACTCAAAAACCACTGGGAGAATTGACACCAGATTTGGATACACTATACCTATCAGGCCAACGAGTGACCATCACTCATAGAAACACTGAAAAACACAAGACAATTGACTTAAAAGCAATAAATAAATAATATATTACAATGCATGCGCAAAACCACATATATACAGATATACACAAATATATATACACACACATACACACACACACACATATATACACACACAAAGCACATATGCACAGACTGGGCCAAAACAAACATGGCAGGGGATGAGTAGTATATCCATAAATGTCAAATCTTCAAAAGTGAAACCTGGAAATCATAGAATCGTTAGAGCTGGAAGAGACCACAAGGGTCATCCAGTCCAACCCTCAAATTTGATGGGCTGATTGTACAGTATATATAGGTCAGCATTCCAAAATGAAAATCATACGAAAAGTGGAGGCTATTGAAAGAAAGAAAAAAAAACAATCTTCCCTGGACAGAAGAAGAAGCAGCTTTCAAGTGATCTCTTAAAGGTTCAAAGTGGTTTTGGATATTTATATCAGGCATACCCGAGTGTGTTGTTTACACGGGAATATTGTTAGTTTTGGGTAATATTTTTCTAAGATGTGCTCTCTTTTCTGTGGTGGAGGAAACTCTCCTTATTTTGATGATATTTGTGTTTCTAATAGCAAACCATGCTCAGTAAAAGACATGTTTCATTAACTGAGCTACAACCTCACAGGTATGCCCTATTTCATTGGGGCTTAAGTATATTCAAGAATATGACCCATGCAATTTTCAGGAGGTAAAAGAATAAATGCTGATACAGCTCTCACTAAAGAAAAGAGAAGTGTGAAATAGGTTCAGAAAGGCAAAGAGGAAAAGGGTGGCAATGTCTAACAGAACAAAAGTTCTGAGACATAGGCAGATATAAGCAGAGAAGAAAGGAAGGACTGGAACGTGACAAGATACCATCATGAACTTAAAAAGAAGAGCCAAAAAGGCTTAAAAGTAAGTATGGGAGAAAATTAACACTGACTAAAGTGAAATGTTGGAATGAGAGCTTTAGAGAAAAGGAACTCAACTTTAATGATTAGCAAGCTATAGAGTATTAGTAATTATTATCTGGATAGATAAAAGAACAATAGTGTTGTATTGTAAAGTTCCTGCTACTATGCTATTCATTTATGGTGGCACTTTATAGAATAATGATCATCTTTTTTTAAAGCTGGGAAATGGGGAGATCTGAAAGGCAGACATTATTAGGCAAATAATCATATTTTTTTTGCTCTGGAAATAGATTAGAAATGGGGTGCGAAAGGGAATATTGAAAAGGAGAATACAACAATGATATGGCAAAAAAATGGTCTGATGGAGAACTTCAAAGTTTACATTACAAAGTTTATAACACTTCAGAAATTCTGCTTTTTAAATTTTGTCACTTTTGGTTCGCAAAATCAGCGAAAATATGCCACAAGACCAGACCTGTATGGTTTCTATCATCAAAGCAAAACAAAACAAAACAAACCCCAATAGAAATATTATTTTTCTGGAGTCACAAAATCCCTCTTCTACCATGATTGGTACCAGATATGGACATCTATTTTAGAAAAAAAATGGCTAATGTGAAGGGGAGAAGAGTGGTTTTTTTAAAATGTTCCTGTCTGTGAACAGCAACAATAACAAAATCATAAACTTAGGCCAATGCTCAGCAATTGAGCCAGTGATCTACCAGCATCTTCACATCAAATGTCCCATCCTTGTCATAGAATGGAAAGGATGGAAAGAGTATTATAATATTTGAAAAATGGTCAAACACTTTGTTTTTCAAATACCAAAAAACTTGATGTGAAGAATTCTGGATGGATGAGAAATTTTGCAGTTTGGGACTGGTTGTGCAGAAAAAATTACATGTGGTGATTTTGTGCAGAAAACAGCATTTTCTGCATGGGAAATAATATTTCAGTGCAGAAGTATTAATCCTTGTGCTTGAAAATGTTATTGTTTGCATAGAAAAAAAATCTATGATTGAGAATGTGTTCTGCATAAAATTGATATGTGCAAATTTTATGCAGAACAGCATTTTTGACACAGAAAATAGCATTTTTCCCAACTCAGGGACAATCTTTGAAGATGTTTAGTTGAGAAAGATGGGCCAAGGTTATATTTGAATGGGTATTTCTCAACTCTTTCATTACAGCTTCCCCAACCAAGAAAGAAAAAGGTCCATCTCAAAAGCAGAATGCTGTAACATCTTTTTAAAATTTCCATTTTAGCGAGAAAACGAAAGGAGATGACCTTCGAAGGCTTCATACGATACATGCTTTCAGAAGAGTGCAGCATATTCAAAAAAGAGAACAAAACTGTTTACCAAGATATGAGCCGCCCACTGTGTGATTATTACATATCATCATCACACAATACCTACTTGATACAAGACCAGCTTATAGGGCCGAGCCATCTATGGGGCTATGCCAAGTATGTATATCTCTCTGGGGTATGGGATGGGGTAGACAGTACAACATGGCTTTTGTTGATTTTTCTATCTTTTTTAAAAAACAAAGAAACAAATGTTTTATGTGATTGAGAAAAAAATGAGTATCTCTTTTTAAAAGCAACAGGTCAACCAAATCTGAAATATACTTCTATGGCTAATGGCCATTCTGGTTGGAGGACTGGAAGACTTAACGGTCTTAAGTTCCTGATGTGAATGATACAATTTCTGTTTATAATTTTAAAATGGATGCTTAATTCTGTAGGGTTGGATGAAGAGAAGTTAAATAATGCTATGGGAGAAGTTGCTTTAGATTAACTGAAGAAACAATTCAGTGGGATGCTCTCACTGTCCAAACCTCGATGACACTGTAGGAGATCGATAAGGAGACATGAAAATAATTAAATTCTATTGAATTCTATAGAATCATTGAGTGATTCTAACTCCTTATAATTTGTCTTAACTGATTTATTTTTTCTTGGCCTGTTGGATATTTCCTATTGCCTTCTTGATATTTGGTGTAGGATGATGCAGGGTTAAAAACTCAATATTAAGATCTGTGAAATAAAAAAGTATCAGTGCCAGAAAGAAAGCAATATTTCTGAAATATAATGGATTCAACTAAAATTAGGTACAGCAGCCCAGTGGTATTGGCAGAGATTGGTTCCGAGACATCACTCCCCCCAAAGATATTAAAAATTGTGGCTGCTCAAGTCCTCCTTGCTCTGCTCTGTTCTCTTGCTCAACTCCGTATCCTCTCCAGCCAGTAGCACCAAGCTTTAACTTCTATTCTCACCTTTCTCTAATATTCCCCAGCCACATTTCTAAGCCCTGATCTACCTCCTCCTGCTCTTCCCTCTTCTCCATATCCCCTTATCTTGCTGCAAATTCGTAAAAAGAGATAAGGCATTTGGCACTATTTGTTTGTTTGCAAACATACGTGTTGCTGCCAATTGTCATTTCCCTGAAAAAGCTGCTTACCACTGCTGCTAATCACAAATAAGTGCATTCCCAACACAGTATTCCTTGGTATGGGGTTTGAATGTTAAACCAAACTCGTAGAAATTGTCAGTGTCAGGTAGATGGAACTGCCAGAGTGGAAAAAAAAAACTATGTTTGCAACATATTCCCCAACTTTTCTAGTTTGGCAGGCGCAGTCCTAATTAATTCTCTGCTGTCCCATTTCAAAGCTTCTTTTCAAATATCCCGGATTCTCTGTTCCTTCCACTTTTAGTCTTTACTTCCACTTTTAGTCTTTGTCCTCAATTTACTTCAGTTAAAATAGCTTGAATACAATCAACCCAGTGGGAAGGAGAGAAGGAAAAGAATCTTGCACTTCCAGGTTGGCTCAGGCAAAAGCAAACTACTGCAGCCTGTCCTAGCTTGTGCGTTCACCCCAGGCCAAACCTTGAAACTGCTAGGCTATTAAATGCTAATCAAGGTGGCCAATTGGAACATTCACACCTACTCAAACAGCCGAGAGTTCTTTCTCCCACCATGGACATTCCATAGATATATAATGCCCATTTTCCTAGTTTCCAACAAATCTCACAATCTCTGAGGATGCCTGCCTTAGATACAGGTGAAACATCAGGAGATTCTGGAACATGACCATACAGCCAGCAAAACTCACAACAACCCAGTGATTCCAGCATGAAAGTCTTCGATCTTACCAGATTGCCAAAATGACAGGCCAAGAGGCAGGGGGGCGTGATAGAATTGCTCCTCTCCCCTTCCTCCTGGTATATCTTTGTAAGCCACCCTGAGGCTCTTCAGGGAGAGAGGGTGGGTTGGAAATAAAGTTGTTATTGTTATTATGGTGGTATTATTATTATTATTATTATTATTATTATTACCTGGTAAGGATTTTTTTAATTTTTAAGGCTTTGTTTGGGGGGGGGGAGGGAGGGGGGATTCTGGCGCAGTAGTTACCATGCTGGAATGGAGACAGCGTCCGGGAAAGCCTGGGTCTTTGGAAAGGGTGAGGGGACACATTTTGTAGTGAATTTAAGTCCTGCCTGGAAGTGCTCTGAGAGCGATGGGTTCAAATTACAGGAATTGAGATTCCACCTGAACATTAGGAAGAACCTCCTGATTGTAAAAGGCATTCAATAGTAGAACTCTCTTTACATTAAAGTAGTAGTATTTGGAGTAGTAAATTCCATTTTTTCACTTTTAAAGTTCCCTGAAGAGGGGATGCCGCTGTGTAGAAATTGACTGCTGGGATGGGCCAGATGGTGAGCCCATTGTGTACCATGGACATACCTTGACCAGCAAGATCACCTTCAGGAATGTCATCAGTGTGGTTCACAAGCATGCCTTTGAGGTAGGTGTGAGCACTTTTGAGGGTTGTTTGGAAATACAGGGCAAGCACCATCACCACCACCACTATCAGCATGAAATGTTATGGAGACATTTTGTGTCACACAATATAATGCAGTGTCTTGGGTGCTAACTTGCCAAACAGAAATATCAAGTGGTCTGCTGATCTTCAAGATCTTTAAAGAATGAACTTGAGTGACCAACTTAATAGCCAGGCAGTCAGACTTTGGATGCAATCATAGCATATCCACCAACTGTCCTGATTTGGCAGGGTAGCCCTTTTACTTTGCTGTCTCATATTTCAGCTGCTTTTTAAAATCTCTCTTCTTTTCATTTTCCTCCATCATCTACCGCTATAATTGCTGCATATGATGTTACCCCCCCCCCCCGCCCACCACCCGAGAATGTCACCCTTCTCAATAGACTCAGGATGAAGCAAATTCTGCAGCCTCTCCTACCTTGTATGCTGTTCCTCATTAATGATGTTTGCTGTCTTCACCATTCTCTGATAATGCTCGTCCACAAAACTCTCAGTTTTCATCTAGGAAATGTTGGTGGATATGTTATATAGTATGGTAGATTAGGATAAAAGTGATTGTTGTAAAAAGTTTTTGAGATATTGACAAGCTGGAATGTGTCCAGAGGAGAGCGACTAAAATGATAAAAGGTCTGGAGAACAAGCCCTATGAGAAGCGGCTTAAGGAGCTGGGCATGTTTAGCCTGAAGAAGAGAAGGCTGAGAGGGGATATGATAGCCATGTATAAATATGTGAGAGGAAGCCACAGGGAGGAGGGAGCAAGCTTGTTTTCTGCTTCCTTGGAGACTAGGACGCAGAACAATGGCTTCAAACTACAAGAGAGGAGATTCCATCTGAACATGAGGAAGAACTTCCTGACTGTGAGAGCCATTCAGCAGTGGAACTCTATGCCCCGGAGTGTGGTGGAGGCTCCTTCTTTGGAAGCTTTTAAACAGAGGCTGGATGGCCATCTGTCAGGGGTGATTTGAATGCAATATTCCTGCTTCTTGGCAGGGGGTTGGACTGGATGGCCCATGAGGTCTCTTCCAACTCTTTTGATTCTAACTGTTTGGCCCAGTTAGCAATCACAGCTTTGAATGCTAAGTTGAATTCTTTAGTAGAATAGTAAAGAAACCAGCCTTGTCTAAGCATTCTGAGGACTCATCTACATGGGCCCAATTATCCCCAGTAGCTGTGCAGTCACTTCTAGATCATTGTAGGGTAAACTGAGACCCCTTCCACACAGCTGTATAGAATCCCACATTATCTGCTTTAAAGTGGGTGGGCTCTGTAATTGGCTAAGCAGATGAACCGAAAAGGTGCTCACCAATGCTTCCGCTTCATTCTGGAAAGAAGTGACGAGTGGAGTGCCGTAAGCAGGGTTCCATCCTGGTCCTGGTCCTGGTTCTGTTCAACATCATTATTAATGACTTAGATGAAGGGTTAGAAGGTATGATCATCAAGTTTGCAGGCAACACCAAATTGGGAGGGAGAACCAATATGCCAGAAGATAAGAGCAGAATTCAAAACGATATGAATAGATTAGAGAGATGGGCCAAAACTAACAAAATGAAGTTCAACAGTGACAAATGCAGGATACTCCACTTAGGCAGAAAAAAATGAAATGTAAATATACAGAATGGGGAATGCCTGGCTTGATAGAGGTATGTGTGAAAAAGATCTTGGAGTCCTCGTGTACAACAAGTTAAACATAAATCAACAATGTCATGCAGCATCTTAAAAAGCCAATGGGATTTTAGCCTGAATAAATAGGAGTCTAATGTCTAGATCCAGGGAAATCATGCTACCCCACTATTCTGCCTTTATCAGACTGCACCTGGAATACTGTGTCCAATTCTGGGCACCACAATTGAAGGGAGATGTTGACAAGCTGGAATGTGTCCAGAGGAGGGTGTCTAAAATGATCAAGGCTCTGGAGAACAAGCCCTATGAGGAAATAGCTGGGCATGTTTAGTTTGCAGAAGAGAAGGCTTAGAGGAGACATGATGGCCATGTATAAATACATGAGGAGAAGTCATAGTCCTCCCTATGAACAAGCTTGTTTTCTGCTATCCTGGAGACTAGACATGGAACAATGGCTTCAAACTACAAGAAAAGATATTCCACCTGAACATTAGGAAGAACTCCCTAACCATGAGAGCTGTTCAGCAGTGGAACTCTCTGCCCCGGAGTGTGGTGGAGGCTCCTTCTTTGGAGTCTTTTAAACAGAGGCTGGATGGTCATCTGACGGGGGTGCTTTGAATGTGATTTTCCTGCTTCTTGGCAGCGGGTTGGACTGCACTCAAAGTGGATTAATATAAAAATGTTAGCATAACATTTAAATATGCTAATATACAAATATCAAGACATTTTATTTGCCTGGCCAGACTGGAGTCCTCGGCTATCAACTAGAGCCCATCTAGCTATGTGTTGTTAAATAAGTTATTGAGCTCCTTTTGTAAACTTTAAAAGATTAAAAACACCCTTCAAGTCCTCCCTATCAAATACATTTTTTTCTGAACTCATATGATGTATAGATCTCTCTATAAAGGTTTTTATCAACACAGTTCACTATATGTATTAAACACATAAAAACTTACCAACAACTGTGCTGTTTTTCAATAGCATGGTGTCATGTATGTGTAGGTATGAATCAGAGTGTGCAAATCCTCTTTATAATATTATTTTTTTATATTTCAGGCATCAGATTATCCCATTATCGTATCTTTGGAGAACCACTGTAGTCCTAAACAACAGGAGAGAATGGCAGCTCACATGCTACACATGTTTGGAGATACACTCTGTGTTTCAACACTTGATGATACTATGCCAACGCATCTACCCTCCCCAGAGGTACTTTGGATTTGTCTACACCAGCTCAACACCCTGCACCAATTGAGAAGTTGCTTCTGGTTTATATGATATCCAGAGACTTTCAGTCACTATTGAAGGGTAAACCAGGTTAAACTGGTTTAGCGTCTTGCTAAGGAAATATTCCAATTTGTGGGCGAATCTCTGGAGCAGCCTCACTGTTTGGGCACAGTGTGAAAAAACAGCAAGGTCCTATGTGGACTGACTGCTGTTCACATGGCCACCAATGCCACCCCATTTTCCCTTTGCTCATAGTGTAGGGGAATTGATCAGGCCCATAATTCCAATCTTCAAGAGAGTTCTTGGCTGTCACAGTCACCCATGTTGACAAAGTGCCTGTTTGACTAGGAATATTATTATTCTTTTTTTTTTGGGGTGGGGGGATCACTACACATGTGCAACATATTTTCAAAATATCTCAAGTCATAGATACTCCTTTAAATCAACTATTAGCAAACATATATTTGGAAAAGATCATCCTGTGATTTTCCTGCTTCTTGGCAAAGGGTTGGACTGGATGGCCCTCAAGGTCTCTTCCAACACTATGATTCTATTATGGTCTTATTCATAAAGAATGGGAAACATTGTGAACATAAATTTGAGAATGTGGCTGTTGTGTTTGTCCTTGTGTTGTTTTCAGTTCACAGCTAACCTATGACATGTTTTTCTTGGCAAGATTAGTTCAGTAGGGCTTTGCTTTTGATTTCTTCCAAGGCTAAGAGGTTGTGATTTGTCCAAGATCACCCAGTGGGTTTCCATGGCTGAGTGTGGATTCAAACCCTGATCTCTAGAGTCATAGTCCAATGCTCAAAGCACTCTTCTGAGAAGAAGGGGGGGGGGTCATTCCATCAATGGGGACAGTGTGGGTGGGGATCAACAAGGCCAGTAGGCATGGCTGGAGTGAGAGGCATACTTCTTCTTAATGCTGAGATTCTCTCTGAGCACAAAAAAAGCTCACCCTGAAAATTACACAGATCAGCTTCATAAAACAGCTTGCAGTATCTACAATATGTACAACCCTGTTTCATGCAAAGTGTCCAAAATGTACATCCCAATTAATTACTTGCAACAACCTAGCAAGAGCCTGTCAAGTGCACATCAAGATTACACACAACAGGTAGGAAAATATGCAGTGCAGTTGCTTGCAAATTATGCATCTCAGTAGAGAAGTGCACAGCTGAAGTCATGCAACAGCATGCTAAAGGTCACAATGTCAGTCTCTGTGAGGTTATTTACAGATTGTGTTGCTGTTTGTTCTAGCTATATGCCTTCCAGTTGACCATGACATTTGATGGCACTATCTTAGAGTGATCTTGGCAAGATTTATTCAAAGGAGGATGTTTGCTATTGCCAGTTACTTACGACCTCATCGCATTGGCATTTTTGGCTCCTTTCTCTTCTTCTGGATGGGGCCTGCCAAGCGCCATCAGATGATGCTGGCTTGGCCTTGCCCCCCTTCCTCTAGAAGTGGAGGGGACACATTGCAGGACACTTCCTCTGCCACAATGGAGAGGAAAGTGCATTATTTAATGTTTGATTTTTAAACTTTGTTAAAATATACGTATAATATATGTGTTTGTTGTGTACAATTTTATATTTTCAACATTTCTAATAGCAGTTTGGTAAACTATTCATTTACAGATGGAATAATACTTTCTTTCCAGTGTCTGGAATAAATTATTCGAGAAGCTGTAATAGTGTTTTGAAATAAAACAATATTTTCCTCGTTGATGACATTAAAACAAAAATATATCTGGTGGAAACTGTATACTCTATTGTAAATTTATTTTGGATTGTTTCCTTAACAGCTTTCCAATATGCATGGGCTTTATGACAGGTCCATTACATGTGAAAAAAGTCCTTTTTTTCTCTCTTACACATCCAACATTTATTCTCCATTTGTTTTTGTTTTTTATCTTGGCAAGTGGCGCAATGGGTGGCGCCATGGGTTAAACCCTTGTGCCGGCGGAATTACTGATTGACAGGTCAGCGGTTGAGCTCCCTCTATCTGTGCATTCAAAATTTTCTGTTGACTTTATATCACTTCCATTGTTTTATTATGTTACAAGTATTTCACAGTTTGTACATTTGTACAATTTTGCAAAGTATATTGAAAATGCTTGTGTTAGTTGATGTTATTTCTCTCAATTTTTCTTTAATCTTTGTTATCATTCTCCTGGCAACATCCTTCCTTAATTTATGTGCCAAGCATCTTCCCACTTTATTGGCAGATTCAAAATTATGAACTTTCATCCATTTCATCTGCTTGGCAACTTCATCTGTCATCAAAGTCACAATTTGATTTTGTAGTGAGAATACTGTTGCTAAGTTTTACATCCATTGTTTTTTTGCAGCATCATTTTTTTCTTGAGCCTTCAAGCTTTTCATGAATTTCTGAAATATTTCTTGTTTTTTCTTGTTCTTGATAGCATTTATGAGAATCAAGTATCCTCTGATGTAAGTTTTTAAAGCATTCCCTATGATTTGTAAATCTGTTCCTTTATCTTTGTTTATTTTGAAATATTCCTTGATTTTTTGTTTTATGAATTCCCTATTGTTTTCATTTTGCAGTAATGCAGTTTAATCTCCATGTTGCAAATTTGTTCCCATTATAAAGGGTCACCACTATTGGATTATAACCTGACAAAACTCAAGGACTAACTTCTATCTTCGATATCAACCTTTTTAATGATTTTGTAACAAAAACATATTTAATCTTGCAAATGAGTTATGATTATGGGAAAAAGGTACATTCTGTCTCTGATCCTTTTCTGAGTCTCCAAACATCAATCGAATCAAATAATTCCAACATCTCAAATCCAGCTTTTGGGAGAATGCCTTTATTATTTATAGTATCAGAAGTGAACCAAGTTTCAGAAGTGAACAGTTGTAATGAATTTAAAAAACACAAACAAATTTTAAAAACTTGGCACTATACTAAATGTTCTTTGACCAGTAGCTGGCTACTTGGAGTGCCTCTGGTGTTGCTATAAGAAGGTCCTCCATTGTGCATGTGGCAGGGCTCAGACTGCATTGTAATAGGTGGTCTGTGGTTTGCACTTCTCCATGCTTGCATGTTGTGGACTCCACTTTGTGGCCCCATTTCTTAAGGTTGGCTTTGCAACTCGTGGTGCCAGAGCGCAGTCTGTTCAGCACTTTCCAAGTTACCCAGTCTTCTCATTCGGTATTGGAGTCTCTCATTCGGTATCAGCTGTGGCTTGCGGTTCTGGGTTTTAGCCTGCCACTTTTGGACTCTTGCTTGCTGAGGTGTTCCTGTGAGTATCTCTGTAGATCTTAGAAAACTATTTATTGATTTAAGCCAGTGTGCTGGCTGATATCTGAACAGGGGATAGGCCAGATATGTCTTGGTCCTTTCATTATTGGCTGCTACTTCCTGGCAGATGTCAGGTGGTGCAATACCGGCTAAATAGTATAATTTCTCCAGTGGTCAAGGGCATAGATGTACTATGATTATACAGCATGTCTCATTAATTGCCACATCCACTGTTTTAACGTGGTGAGATGTGTTCCACTTTGGCCTTGATCTGCTGTAATTTTCTTAATAGATTTATGGTCCTGATGCAGGGAAAGAACTAAATTCCAACCCCCCATCATAATCCAACTTTGAAAAGGTAAAGGTGCTAACTCTCTCAATAATCATTCATAGAAGTCCAAAACAACTGGAGGACCAAAGATTGGAAACTATGGATATATACAATAAACACCCGGTTATGTCTTATCTGGGTGAGGAACTTTCTGCAGGCTGTACCTGATAAATGACCAGAGAATTCCCTTCCTTCCTTATATATATATATGTGGTCAGTGTTTGCTGGCATAAATGCAATCGGTGGCTTAGATGTTGATATCTAAATGACATTTGCAGAAGAGGTATAGATCTAAATTCTATTGTTAGTCCTGACTAGAATAGACCCATTTAATTAATTGTATTTATCTATAAGTTGACACATTTAGCAATCAATGCATTATGTCTCCTTGTGACCAACCAACAGGATTCAGGCTTTAATTTTCCTAGTTATGGAATATACCTATTTAGTTTCCATGTAAAAAAAAAAACCTGGCGTTGAAGGTAAAATTAATGACTTGGGAGAGGAGTTTGCCATAATGTTCATCATGTTGAATGTTTGTTATGCATCTTTTTTGCTGCAGCAACTGAAATTGAAGGTCTTGATAAAGAATAAAAAAGTTGGCACCTTGGAAGATACTCTTCGATGGAGGGGTGGTTGTAAGGGAGAGGGAGAAACGGGAGACGCGGAAGATACCTCCGGAACAGATGAGGAGGACGACGAAGCATCTGAGGAATTGCTAAAGAAACTTGCTCAGAAACCTCCTAAAAAGGGCAAGAAGGAAAAGGTAAACAGAACTCCAAGGCACCTACATTGTTTCCCCTTGCATGCAATATTTTTTAAGCAAAAACAGACCAGTGATTGGATGTTTCTGGTACTAGTACTACTATTACTGTTGGATAGGACTAAAATATCAGCCCAATTATATTCTGCCAGGTGCGACATGAAGCTGGGATGAACCCTGAAACTAAGTAGGAAGGCAAACAGACAAGACGCAATAGCTTAGGCTAAGTCCTATCACTGGTTTCAGTACAACCTACTCACAGCAATGGCTGAGCTAAGATAGATAAAACCTATTTCAAGCATTTGTATTGTACAGAATTTCAGAGATACAGGGACAAAAATCAAATGCCTGTGAGCAATATCTAATGCAGATGTTAAATAGATTTAACATCTTTGATTCTTATTTTACATCAACATTAGTACTAGTACTATAGTGAACACTTGGTATCTACTGGGGTTTGGTTCCAGAAGTCCCATGGATTCCAAAATCAAGAGAGACTCAAATTTTCTATGCAATGACATACCAAAATGGCAAATCAATGTTTGCTTGTTTGGATTTTTCACAGAACTAAAAATATACTCTCAGTCTCAGTCTCAGTCCCAATCTCTGTCTCTGTCTGTCTGTCTGTCTGTCTCTCTCTCTCTCTCTCTCTCTCTATATATATATATATATATAATATATTCTATCTAGATCTAGATCTAGCTCTAGTTCTAGTTCTAAATCTATCTATCTATCTATCTCTATCTATCTATCTATCTATCTATCTATCTAGTTCAACTATCATTGGGTTCAAATTACAGGAAAGGAAATTCCACTTGAACATTAGGAAGAATTTCTTGACCGTATGAACTGTTCAACTGTGGAACTATTGGAGCATGTGGAAGCTCCTTCCTTGGAAACTTTTAAACAGAATCTGGATGGCTGTCTGTCAGGGATACTGTGATTGTGCTCTTTCTTCGTGGCAGGGGGTTGGATTAGATGACTTATGTGGTCTCTTCCAATTCTATGATTCTATGATTTACATATATCTACATGCAAGACCATTAAAAAGGCAAAGATATGGAATGTTTGGGAATGAACAATCCATTCCCAAAGAACTGTCAAGACAAATAAAGTCTTTTCCAGCTGCCAAAAAAACACACAGTTCAAGGGGAATCAGTCTAGCCCAATGCTTCCCAAACTTCAGTTCACCAGATATTTGGGACTTCAGTTCCCAGAATTCCTGAGTGTTGAGCAAGCTGACTGGAACTTCTGGAAGTCAAGGTGTGAGACATCTTAGAACCAACATTTGAAAACCACTGGTCTGGCCTCTCTAGAAGCGTTATAAGCTTTGTCCTAAGTTTGCTTGTGGTTGTCCCTAAAACATTCCGGCACTTCCAGTAAACTGGGATAAACTGGGTTAGTCTAAATTAGCCCCATGTTAAGTAAAGTTGACCAATGGATTCAGGGCATTGGGGACTACAGGATCGGATCTGATTTAGATTGGTCCTCTGTCCACATGGAACACTGCGGCCACTCCCTTTTACCTGCACACTTCAATGCAGGGAAAAGGAAATGGATCACACTTGTGTCCCTTTCATCACTACTCCCAAAATAGCCACAGAGGTCCATGTGAGCTCCTGGCTATTGCAGATGCCCATTGCTGACACCAGCAGATGTGTCCACATAATGAGGAAGAAAGGGGTTACACGGGCATGACTGCCTGTGACAGTTAGGAGCTCACATCACACTCTGCGTCTATGTAGGAGTGGCAATGGCAATACAGATAGTAAAGTGATGATCCACTTTATTTTAAAACCCTTAATGCAGGCATGGGGACTCTTCATTAGTGTCAAGATCTTCAGCTTATTCTGTAGTACAAAGGACTGAGGGAAAGTCCTCTTGCCCTTGTCACTTTGCAGAACTGTAACTTGTTCAACTTTGTTCTCAGGAGCACAAGGTAAAAGTGGCCATGATGCTGTCAGAACTTATCATTTACACCGCATCCCGGAAGTTTTCCAGCTTTGAAGATTCGAGGGAGAAGCAGAAATTTTACCAAAATAATTCAATCGGAGAGGTGAAAGGCCAAAAGCTCATAAAAAGGAGAGGTAACTTAAACAATTTGATCTCTTTGGATAGAACATTTGCATTTTTCTTGTGTATCAGAAAACCTGACAAGGTTTATAGCCTTACAGTCTACACAATTTCTTATCAAATGGTCAGGTTTTCCACAAGGGAGTTAAGCTCTCATTGCCTATGATCTGAACACATATTGAACTTACACTCAGTCAATTGCATGTACCGACCTTGCTGAAGAGATTTTGGCAGATTATGACTGTTTTGGCCTCTCATTGTAAGATCCAGACCTGAGACATAAAGAAGAATGCTGATATCACAGGGGCAGGTTTTCTTCTCCAACACTTTGGAGCCACCTTTTTGCATCACTCTGCCTTATGACCAAGTCAGCCCTTTGTCCATCTTCACCCATATATTAATTATAATAGGTAAGCAGACTGTGGCCAGGAAATCAGAAGACGCTTACTTCTTGGGAGGAGAGCAATGTCCAGTCTCGATAAAATAGTAAAGAGTAGAGACATCAGACTGGCAACAAAGATCCGCCTAGTCAAAGCCATGGTATTCCCTGTAGTAACCTACAGATGTGAGAGCTGGACCTTAGGGAAGGCTGAGCGAAGGAAGATCGATGCTTTTGAGCTGTGGTGCTGGAGGAAAGTTCTGAGAGTGCCTTGGACCGAGAAGATCCAACCAGTCCATCCTCCAGGAAATAAAGCCCGACTGCTCATTGGAGGGAAGGATACTAGAGACAAAGTCGAAGTACTTTGGCCACATCATGAGGAGACAGCAAAGCCTAGAGAAGACAATTATGCTGGGGAAAGTGGAAGGCAAAAGGAAGAGGGGCCGACCAAGGGCAAGATGGATGGATGGCATCCTTGAAATGACTGGACTGACCTTGAAGGAGCTGGGGGTGGTGACGGCCGACAGGGAGCTCTGGCGTGGGCTGGTCCATGAGGTCACGAAGAGTCGGAGACGACTGAACGAATGAACAACAAAGCATAATAGAGTTCTGTAAACATTTTCAGTAAACATTACATGTAAAGTTGTATTGTTCAACCAGAATTGTGAATGTATACTCACAGGCAAACTTTGCAAATCCTCTAAATCTTGCAGTTATTTATTTCAGTGGCAGAGAATTCAGTACGTTTAACCTTCATGCTGAAATCAATGAGATGTTGAAAGTTTTAACTTTGGACCTCTGCTGAGGAATAGTAATATTGGTCATGCAGCAAAATACAAAATGCACAAAAGAGTGATTATACTAGTGGCCAACCAAAATGCAGAAAAATATCACACAAGCTTACGAACTGCACTGGTTTCTTCATCAAGCAAAGTTGTTATAAATCACATGGAACTGTTATTTTTCTTCTTCTGTACATTTCACTCTGACTCACTGTGAGGTAACAAATGCATATGCATGTAAAACATTATGTGCACGTCAACCATGATTCCATCTGTAATATGATGTTGGAAATATCTCTTTTCAGCCCCTGATTTTGTGTTGCACACCCTCCGCTTCCTCACAAGAATCTACCCCAAAGGAACCAGGACAGACTCTTCAAATTATGATCCACAAGAATTCTGGAATGTTGGGTGCCAGTTAGGTAGGTCTCCTTCATATCACATTGTATCCTATGTTTGCATATGTGGAGTTAGTATCAAAAAGGTACCAAATCCATATGAATAAATGTTACATGAATTGAAAAAGAGTGCTTCTGAGGATATGCATTCCTTTGCTTTAAAATGAAATTTTCCAAGCCCAGGTGTGATACATTTATTAGTGCTTAATATTCCACTGCTAGCCAACAATAACTTGTTTTCCATTTTTTTAATGGATTTGGTATCTTTTGGGATCAAAATCCCCACATGTGGAGCAGCACAGATTTGGATTTAATAACTTCTCATCTAGGACCAACAGATAAAAATTAGTTCCAGGAAAACAATGCATATGTTGAGCTGCAACAGAGGAAGATTTGCCTCATGATATCCTTGGATTCCAGCTTTACTCTGAGTCTAGAACAGGCATGGACATACTTCGGCCCTGCAGGTGTTTTGGACTTCAAATCCCACAATTCCTAACAGTCAGCAGGCTGTTAGGAATTGTGGGAGCTGCAGTTCAAAGCACCTGGAGTGCTGAAGTTTGCTCGTGCCTGGACTAGAAGATATTACAATATAGCCCCTATATCCATTCCTAAACTTACAGTGGAAACGGGAAACTGTGAATGATAGTGAATCCTATCGGAATGAATAACTTCCTCTGGAAGTTATCATACAGTCACTTTGGAGGACTCTCTAGGCATCCACTCTAGGAATTTTCAGGTCCTCCATAGCAAGTCTTTGGTAACCTCTGGCAGAACCTCACCAGAGAGTTCTCCAAATACAGGAAAATACACAAAATATCCCACCTTTACAAAGACCCTAGAACCTTGTGTTACTTCCAAATAGCTCTATTGTTTTCTGCTGTCCTTATCAAAGTGGTATCAGTAAATGACATCCATCACCTCCTATCACCATTGTGAAAGGGGCTTCAGTGGAAAATGGAGACATTTGGGGTTGCGTATTTGTGAGTGGAGGAAAGTTACATCCTTTGTCCTTGTTGGGCCACTGCATATACTGTTGATGGAATGTGAAGCCATGTCTTCTTCCAAAAATCCTCATTGCACTTCATTTCAAATAGATTTCTAGTGCTCTTTCTTTCACACATTACTGAAAAGTTTATTTCTATATTTTTGCTTAAGACTGTGAGAAAGATAGCAACAAACACTTACACAAACTCACATAATTTGTTTCATCTTCTAAGAGCAAGTCTGGAGGTGGCAGAGGTGGGTGGAGAAGAGGAAAACTAATTGTGTCCTCTTCAAGCAATGTGTGACAGTCACTGCTTTTACATTCAGTCCTCCCTAAAAGCATCTACATATAACATATAACAAAAGACAAATTGATCTATTTTGTGATATTAACTTCTTGGCACCACCAAGCTTTGACTGCATGCATTGTTGGCAGTGGACATTTCCATGGAATGAAAGATTCATTAATTGAGTGCCACTCTGGGTTCGTGCAGCCTTCATGGCAGAAAATTGGACGCTTTATAAATGTCACTACAGCAGTCAGAACTGAATGGGTGACGTGCGAAAGCAGTAACTATATTTCTATGATTTTTTTTTCCTGTAAAAAAGGCTCTGAGCCAGAGAGTCATTCCTTTTGAGATATAAATAGCCAAAGCTCTATTCATGTTGCCAGTCCCTGAACGTGTCCTACAGGAACAACAAGAAAGCCTCTTCTTTGAAGTGATGGAAGATGTCTTGTCCTCCATGAAACTTAGTGGTGGCTGGTGGTTTCCATGGCTTTTGAATAATAAATCCATTCTGGATTTTTCTCTGTACTTGCAAGAAGAAATCCAAGTTGAACCCTACTTCCAAAATAGGTTTGAGACTTTGGATAGCTCCTCTATGGTTCAGACTAAAACTTGAGATGGATTTATTGTTGAAGGCTTTCATGGCCAGAATCACTGGGTTGTTGTAGGTTTTTTGGGCTATATAGCCATGTTCTAGAAGCATTATCTCCTGACGTTTTGCCTGCATCTATGACAAACATCCTCAGAGGTTGTGAGATCTGTGAGGTCTTGTGAGGATGCCTGCCATAGATGCAGGTGAAAGGTCAGGAGAAAATGCTTCTAGAACATGGCCATATAGCCCAAAAAACCTTGAAATGATTCTTTTGCCACATAGACATGGCAGGGATGCACCACCATGACACAATTTGATGTTGATGATAATGATTTTATTTCTATCCTGATCTCCCCCCAGAATTGGTGCACAAGCTAGCTTAGAAAACAAATACAGTTAAAATGGTTGCAGAAATAGAAGTGAAAATGTATCAAAATTATTCCAGGTTGAATGAATATCCCTTATCTGAAATGGTTGGGACAAGAAGTGTTTTGAATTGGAATCTTGTTGTGTAGGATTTTGGAATCCCTGTATTTGCACTTACACTCATAATTAGGTACCTTAAAGATAGGACCCAAGTCTCATCACAAAAATGTTTTATATACATCCTACTCTGAAGATAACTTTGCACCCAATATTTTCAATAATGCTGTTCATGCTACATAGTAGAGTGGGTCAGGGAGGTGAGGCAAAGAAAATCAGCTGCTACTTCTGTAACATGCTTTTCCCTGCCCATGTCAAAACATCCTGAAGATATGTTTTTCCTTCCACTCTGCAGTGGCCTTGAATTTCCAGACACCTGGAGTCCAAATGGACCTGCTAATTGGGAAGTTTATGGACAATGGTGGCTCTGGTTATATCTTAAAGCCAGAATTCTTGAGGAAGAGAGATGCATGTTTTGACCCATTCCAGGTAACTGGGAAATATAATCCAGTTACATTGACAATAAAGGTAAGATGATTTTGTTGAAATTTTTAACGGGGCATTTATTTTGAATTGTTGTTTTGTTACATTTCTTCAAGTCAACTTCAATTTGTGGCAAGATTTATTCACGGTTTTGTGGCAAGATTTATTCAGAGAGGATTTGCCATTGCTTTCCTGGAAAGATTTGAAACTAGTTATTCCAGATTCCTAGTCCAACACTATCAAAACTCTAAACTTCTCATAAGCAGTTATTTAAAGCCCCCTTTTCAGTTTTATACTTTCCAAGTTAATTATAGATTATATTCCAGTTAGCATTCATCTGTATGGCTGTGATGGATTGGGACACTGATCCCTTCATTCAACCTTATCTCAATTCTTAAGTCCAAAGTGTAGTAGATTCATTAAATAAATGGAATCTTTATGTATTTTGACATACCAAATTACCATTTATTGTGTAAACCAAAGGTGAGGTGTTTTCTTGATGTTGTAAAGAATTGCAGTGAACCATTGGACTTAAACTCAATTGTCTTGTCTTTATGTTGCCTCAGTGCAAGACCAAAAGCTACTGGAGCACTCATAATTCTCTCCTCTCTCTCTTCCCCTAGTGCTTGCCCTGTCTCTCCCTGTGTCATTCAAAAATACATCACACAGTCCTAAACACTTGGGAAGTGTTCGATTTGTGATTTTGTTACATGAAATCAGCATATATATCTCGTTTGCTATATCACATTGTGGTTTTGTGTCAGTAAAATAATAACAACTTTATTTTTCTACCCTGCTTCCATCTTTCTGAAGGGACTCTGAGCAGTTTACGTGGGGATAAGCCCAAATTCAATATGGTTAAAATATAACTCAGCAAAATTTATAAAAAACAATTTCAAACAATATAAAATAAACCACACATAATACAATTTATAACAATCATTGAACAGACGACCAATGGTCTGAGTAGTGCATAAGTCTGAGCTCGGGTGGGTGGACTGGTGCAAATCATTTACAATGATAGGGCCGGTGGGTAAAGTGCTGAAACCAGATGACAAAGTTAGGAAATGGTGGGCATTGTAAAAAGAGCACTACATCTCTAGTTAGGGAACATTGGTAATGCGCAAGAATTGGTTTTGGAGCATAGCTGGGGGGAAAAATATCTGGGAAAGATATTGCTGATTTGGGATAAAAGCCAAATCATGTAACATGTAAGAGCTAATTTGAATTTTCCAAACTTCATATATGAGCCAACTAGTTCTAAACACTGCTATTTGTGTGAATCTTATTCTTAGCACACCTAGGTTATTCTTCAGACGCAATTTGGAACATTTACTGTGAGGATATAAAAAATAATGGCAAATTGAATTAAAGCTTTCAGGGCAAGCTGCAATTTTCATGTACAGAGATGGTTCTAGAGAACTGCCTCTTAGGACAAAAATAAATCAAACAGCTTTGATTTATTATCTGTAAAATTTCCTAGTTGTTTCCTAGTTGTACTTTTGCTGTTGAAAAATGCCTCCAATACTATAAATTCCATGGCTGGGTGGCTGCAAATAGTTATCAGACGCTTCTGACAGGTTATTAAATAGATGCGGCAATATAGTGGGGTGTTTCGGAAGGTTTCTATTTTGCTTGTGTTCTATTTGATCTAGTCACAAAATCAACATTCTCTCCCGATATCTGTACCAATCTTCTAACAAATATTTTGCTCACCATTTTGTTAAGTGGTGTTAAACTAAGCAAGAACTCTCCTTCACCTTTAATAACTCTAAAGTTTGGAGGCTGGTCTCTGAAAGTGATGGACAGCCATTGATTTAAGACATGGAAAAAATAAATACGTTCTCACTTGGTAATTCTATTCATTTATTAGTGACAGCTGGAATTCAGCATGAGATTTATATATTTCTATAAGTGGGCTTACATGTGTGGAAACCCTCCCAAGAAGTTTGGCAATGCCTCTATTTACCCAAGGGCCGCCATAAAATTGCAATATATGGGCATCCGTTGTGCATTGATAGGCAATGGAATGACTGATGTGCCATGACCCTGATGTGCAATGGGCAACGGTGCATTTTGGTACTTCTGATGTGCACCCTGCAAACAACTAGGAAGTGTTGGAGTGCAACAGGAATACCCAAGATGCACCAGGAATGCCAGTGCACCTCAGAAGTGCCTGTTGCTGATCAGGAGCATTTGGTGCCCCTTAGAAGCACCCAGTGCTCACCAGAACACTTTGAGGCTGCCAAGATGTTTGCCTTCCAATCCCTCAGTGGTTCTCAACCTGGGATCCCGAGATGTTTTTGGCCTACAACTCCCAAAAATCCCAGCAAGTTTACCAACTGTTAGGATTTCTGGGAGTTGAAGGCCAATAACATCTGGGGACCCCAGGTTGAGAACCACTGCCAGGATTTCATTGCATTTCTGCAACATTGCTGAGGATTTATAAAATCAGAAAACACAAACCATGGTGCAGAATCTGACCCATTTTTTACAGATCACCTTTTCTCCACAAGCTTATTACTCTCCTACTTTACTGCATTTTAGCTTTACAGAACCCCAATAAAATACCTTAGGCTTAGAGAAAATGATTAGTTTAAGATCACCCTCTTAGTTTCATTTCTCAGATAAGGAGAAGAACTTTGTACTCCAAGTACACCACATCAGCTCCCAGTAAACTCAGGGAGAAATCCATTCCATAACATGATGATGAAGCCCATCTTTGATAACTTTGAAAGGGATTTGGATTAGTTTAAGAAGAACTGTATTCCAGAAAGAGAAAAGAGATAAGGCCAATTCTGTATGTGTAGGACAATGAAGATTAGAAAGCTGTTGTCTTCACATTTCCATAGCTGTCAAATAGGCAATGCTTGGATCCTATTTTAGGCTTCTTCCACACAGCTGTATAAAATCCACACTGAACTGGATTATATGGCAGTATAGACACAGATAATCCAGTTGAAAGCAGAAGACATTAAAGATATTTTTTTACTGTCAGCTGGACACCATCCTGTTGGAGATACCTAAGGAAGACAAAGAGACAAAGTGGGTGAAGCCTGACTTGAAAATAGTACATGTGAAAAAGATCTTGGAGTCTTCATGGATAACAAGTGGAACACGAGCAAACAATTTCAGGCAGCAGCTAAAAAACCTAATAAGATTTTGGTCTGCATCAGAAAGAGCATAGTGTCTAGATCGAGGGAAGTCATGGTACCCCTCTATTCTGCTTTGGTCAGACCTCCCTGGAATACAATTTAAAAGAGATATTGACAAGCTGGAATGTGTCTAGAGGAAGATGGTTGAAATGATCAAAGTTCTGGAGACCATGCCATATGAGGAACATCTTAAAGACCTGGGTATGTTCAGCCTGCAGAAGAGAAGTTTGAGGGGAGACATGACAGCCATGTATAAATATGTGAAAGGATGTCATACGGAGGAGGGAGCAAGCTTGTTTTTTGCTGCTCTGGAGACCAGGACTTGGAGCAATGGGTTCAAATTACAGGAAAGGAGATTCCACCTGAACATTAGGAAGAACTTTCTGACTGTGAATGCTGTTTAGCAGTGGAATTCTCTGCCCTAGAGTGTGGTAGAAGCTCCTTCCTTGGAGGCTTTTAAACAGAGGCTGGATGGCCATCTATCAGGGGTACTTTGAATGTGCTTTTCCTGCATGGCAGGGGGATTGGACTAGATGGCCCATGTGGTCTCTTGCAACTATACATTTTATGATTCCGTGATTTATTTTATAACATTTCAATTTTTATGGTTGTGGTAAAGTATGTTCTTTTTAAAGTCTATATGTATAATATATCATTATAAATGGCTTTCCTCTTTCTGTGGCAGTTAGTGGAGAACTCCTGATGTTTCCATTGAGAGTGAAACTGAACTCTATAGGAACCAATGTTATAGAAATCTTCTTAGTGAAGCTAATGGTCATAACAGTGAAAGTAATAGAAATTTAAACATTAAAGTGCCACAGAGTGCTGTGTTATATGCAGAAAAGAAATAAAAAACTGGGCCCGGTTGTCCAGTGGGGAACAATCATTTGGTGTATTATGTGAACCTGGAAATGAAATGTTGAGTTTCATAAATATGAGCTATAAATTTGTAGTGAAATGTGGTTTTCTTTATGCAGGTTATCAGTGGTTATCAGCTGCCTCCGAGTAACCTTTCCAAGAGTAATAAGGCTGATCCTCTAGTCAAAATCGAAATCCATGGTGTTGCCGCAGACATGGCAAAACAGCAGACTTCTGTTATAAAGAACAATGGTAAGTTCAACTGAAAAGCAATTCAATAACTCCATGCTGTGGAGTAGCATATCTTGATTTCAACAAGGCCTTTGACAAGATCCCCCAAGACATCCTTGCAGATAGGTTAGTAAAATAGGAGCTAGACAAGACAATGCTACTGTTAAGTGAATTGGCTAGGCTCAATGGATTCACCTCATCCTGGAAGAGAAGTGACCAGTGGGGCACCATTGGATTCTGTTCTGGGCCAAGTGCTATTCATCACCTTTATCAATGATTTGGAATAGAGGTCAAGCTTATCCCATTCGCAGATAACAACAAATTGGGACAGATAGCTAATATTCCAGAAGATAGGATCAGGCTACAAAATACCCTTAACAGATTAGATGGATAGGCCAAAAATAACAAAACGTATTTCAAAGGGCAACATTTAAGGTATAGATATAGGAGAAGCAATACCTGGCTTGACAACAATACATGTGAAAGGGATCTAGGAGTCTGAACAAGCTGAACATGAGTCAACAATGTGATGAAACAGCTAAGAGTCAATGCAATGCACCAGTGTCAAGATCAAGGGAGGTAATGATTCTGTTTTGCTTTGATCAGACTTCACCTGAAATATGGTGTCCAGTTATTGACATCACATTTACTGTGTCTAGAGAAGGGTGGCCAACATAATAAAAGCTATGAAAGTCACGTCCTAGGGGGCTGGGTATGTTTAGCTTGGAGAAGAAACAGTTAAAATTAGATATGATAGCCATGTTGAAATATTTGAAATGATTCCATAATGAAGATAGAGCCAGCTTGTTTTCAGCTGCTCTGGAGACTCAGAAGGAATGATGGAGCAATGGATTCAAACTATAGGAAAAAAGGATTCTACATGAAAATTAGGGGAAGCTTTATGACAATAAGAAGTGTTCAACAGTGGGATATGCTGTCCCTGAATGTGATGGAGTCTCCTTCTCTGGAGGTTTTAAAGCAGGGGCTAGATGGTTTTGGTTATATATTCCTGCATGGCAGGAAATTGAACTGGATGGTGTTTGTGGTTTCTTCCAGTGAGTATAATTCTAAGAACATATACATGGCAAACATTCAATGCCATAGACAGACACAGAGGTAATTTAACATTCCAGCTTTTTCTTGAGGGTATTCTGGCCACCAGGGGAGCTGTCCCTTCACTGACCATTTGTGACACTGATGAAGTACTTCCTCATTCTTTGCATGCTTTCTGGAGATTTTTATGGCCTCGTAAATTAGTTAAATTTGCCTCCCCGCATAAACGGTACCTAAATTTCCTACTTGACAGATGCAACTGTCTTTTGGGCTGCAAAGGTTGAAAGCAAGCTACACAAACTTGGTCAGAAGCTCACTCTGACCCGGGCTGGCTTCGAACTCATGACCTTTTGGTCAGTAGTGATCTTAATGCAGCTGACTCCCATCCAGCTGTGCATACAACAATAAATAGAACAATAAGTTGTACTATTAAAGTTTCTTTAAATTGCTTAGAGAAGACTGTAAAATCAATTACCTTCATACTTCAGAGTGATCTTGCAAATTCCATAAGTTGAATATTAGTTTAAAGATATTTGCTTCTTTAAAAGTATCCTTTTCTGAATTTGCGATAAAGACTGTATGTGTGAAAAAAATGGGCAAAATGATCTTATAATATATAGCTCAAAATGTGTACATAAATCTATACATTTTGAAAAAAATACATTATATTATGGACTTGATACAGATCAACCTTCTCTGCCACAATAAGTCATAAGCCAGTTAGAAATGAGACAGAATAAACGTGACTGTAGAACACATTAAAACAAGAGCAATATTGGGTTTGGTAGATTTGTTCTTCTCTGATACTCCTAGGGGCAGAAATATTTTCTCTCTCTCAATCTCTCTTAATCCTGTGGTTCAGTCTTTGGTATACTACTTTTCTCCTATTTTCTGTTTTACCCAGAATAAATTCACAACTCAGTTGCTGAATTGGAAAATGCATATCTTTCCTCCATGAATTCAATTGCATTTATTTTCCATCAGTATGTATGCATGTAATAATAATAATAATAATAATAATAATAATAATAATAATAATTTTTGTCGTGTCAGGAGTGACTTGAGAAACTGCAAGTCGCTTCTGGTGTGAGAGAATTGGCTGTCTGCAAGGATGTTGCCCAGGGGATGCCTGGATGATTTGATGTTTTTATCATCCTTGTGGGAGGCTTCTCTCATGTCCCCGCATGAGGAGCTGGAGCTGATAGAGGGAGCTCATCTGCCTCTCCCCAGATTTGAACCTGCGACCTGTCGGTCTTCAGTCCTGCTGGCACAGGGGTTTAACCCACTGCGCCACCGGGGGCTCCTATAATAATAATAATAATAATAATAATAATAATAATAATAATAATAACTTTATTTTTATACACCGCCAACCATCTCCCCTAGGGGACTCGGGGCGGCTTACAAGGGACACGCCCAAGATTACAATTAAAAACACACATGTAAAACACTTTAACCAATTAAAACATCAGATAAAACAAATAACAACACAATTGAAAGCAATATAAAAACAATACGGCTGAAAGAAACATAGCTGTAATAAAAAAATAAATGTAATACAAAATCTAACATTGCCTCTTAAAGTAGTTGTATGATTGCAGTGAGAGTTTTTCCGTACTGTGTTCTACAGAAGTTGGTAAAACCGGAGCCAAATTAATCTGGATGCAAGCACACATTTTTCAAATCTAATGTGAATTTCCTTTGGCTAGTACTTTATCAGTACACCCAAGTGCATTTGTGCATCAGTACATTAGCGTAACATTTTGGAAATACAAATGAGATCAATGGGGAGTTTAAAATGTGTTGGTTCTGCTCTGGAAACTAGTTAAACAGAAGCATCACAGGAGAATCCATTATCTGAAATGTAATTTCTATGACCTTCCTTATTCCTTGAGTTCACTCAGTGAAGTTAAGGAGGAGGCTCTTTTGAATATCCCCATTGGAACACACGACAGACGTAGATGAGAACTTCTTGCTGGATTACATACACAGTGTGTTATCATCCCAGAAATGCTCCTGCTCTCTTGGGCTCCCATTTTAAAAGAACAAATGTATAGGTGGAGAAACACTCCGTAGAAACAGAAGGAGCCATTCCTTTCTTTCTGTGTTCTTGTTTACTTATTATATTTTCACAAATTTCATTTTTTCAAGCAAGAATGAGTAATTTCACATTTTTCTCTTTGATGTGAGAAAGTTGTTTAAAACTGCACAGTTGTGATTATTTGCAACTCCCAATATGTTTCACACACACATACAGAAAAAAAATGATGCTGAGGCACCCTTCTTTTGTAAATTGCTGTCAACTATAGTGAAAATTTGTGATAATAATCATAATCATCATAACAATACACTTTATTTATATTCCGCCCTTCTCCCCTAGGGGACACAGAGCGGATTATAGCATTTACAACAGACATAGGCAAACATTCAATGCCTTACAATCACATACCATGAAACACACAAAGGCAGAAAAAGAAAAAGGCTTCTCCTATTTCATTTCTAGTTTCTGGGGATGGTGCTCAGCTCTGACTCTGGAGGCGTTCTTCTCCATTTTCAACCTGCATTGTTACCTTCTGGTTGTGTGGCTGGCAAGACTGCTAGGAGTGTCTTTTGCCTTTTCCCTCCCAAGTGGTACCTATTTATCTACTCATATTTGCATGTTTTTGAACTGCTAGGTTGAGAGAAGCTAGGGCTAACAGCAGGAGCTCAGCCCATCCCACGGATTTAAACTGTGGAACTATAGTATAGCTTTCAATTCATGGGCTCCTAATTTATTGTAAAATCTCTGCATTCAACCCCCTTATTCTATGTCAGGTAACAGTGGGGGTGGGGTGGAGGTTGAAGAAACATCTTGCTAAGTCCCAGTAGCTATACATAAAATGATTATAGGAAGATTCCTGTATCTATGAGGAATATGTTCCTGGCTGGAGTGTAGTTATATGAAACCACAAATCGAACACCCTTAAATTATCTGACTTCCAGTCCCAATGTATGGTAGATAATTGCTTGGAAGTCCTAGAAAATTTCCAGAGAGAACATCACCCTCCAGGGCACAGGTAAGTGAAACCATGGATATGGGTCCCACAGTTTCAGGTGTCTTGCTAAAGACTGTTGGAGTGCTGTGGAGGTCTCTGCAGGTGATGTAATAATTTTGTGTTTGGTTTCAGGGACGTAGCCAGATGCTTCTCTGATGGCTACTCCTTCCAATAGATACAGAGTGGCCTGAGGAGTGGGATTGCAGTGAGGAGATCTGGGGTAGGGGCTTTGGTAACTGGAAGGAGGAAGGAAATATCAACCTCTGCACGAAACAGAAAGAGACACACACAGGTGAACTTGCCACTAATAGGATGCTAGCCCAAGTGTATGTGTGTTTAAACCAGAAATGCTACTTTGTGGTTACATTTAAAGCTACCTTGAAAACATTTCAGATCAGTATTACTCTCTTTTCTGTTTCAGCTTTAAATCCTAGATGGAATGAAACATTCACATTTAATATCCAGGTCCCAGATCTTGCCTTAATACGTTTTGTTGTAGAGGATCAGATGGTAATAACTTCCAATGACTTCCTTGGCCAATTTACTTTACCACTTCTGAGCATGAATAAAGGTAAGAGCAACATTGCAGCAACCATGTACAGTAGAAGTTAGCAGCTGTAGGAACTGCCTAGACCTGCTCCCATGACTGCTGTTGCAAAAACAGAGAAGGTGGATGGAAGATTATAATCTGTAACAACAAAATTTGGTATCTGGTGCTATATGAATAGAGAACGTGCCCTTCCATTACTCCTTCATTACTCCTCTGCTATGGCATTTGCACACTCTTAACCTTCAGTGATAACATAGCACCTGTTACTGGAAAAGCAAATGTTGACTTAGAAGACATTCCTGATCTTCCTTATCTTCTTCACTCCCAAGAGCTTTTCAGACAAACACAAGATTTAGCCAGAGTGCACAATTATATCAATTCAATACTGCCATGGCTTCATCCTTTGGAATCCTGGGATTTATAGTTGGGTGAGGTGCTTAACATTCTCTCCGCTAGAGAGTTCACTCCATCTTAAACTACCAACCTGGACCTTTCAAGCAGGGAAATCTAAGTACTTCACCAAATCCCAGGATTTCAAAGGAAGGAGCCACAGCAATTAGATATAATTGTACATGGTGACTACAACCAAAAATTCCAGAGACTGGTGTTTCTGAAAATCTGTTGTGAATCCGGAATGAAGTAAGCACCTCTCAGGGACTGTGTATGCCTAGGCCTAAAATTGCTAGCTCACGGCCAAGAAAAAAGCAGGCAAAAGACAGAACCAAGGTGTCACACCATGGCTTAGTCTCTAGTCTTTTCACCTCAACACAAGTATTCTTCCGTTCGAAGTTTCTCTGCTACCACATCATTTTAATCTGACTATTCTAAGGAGGCAAGAAGCAAAAGAAGTAGTGTGGTTGAAATTTAAAGAACTTTATCATAACACAAACCCACTATTCCATTGCAGTTGTGTTATCATTGTCAGTGGATGCACACCAAGGCGGCTTACAAACAGAATACAAACATTAAAATCCTTCAACCAGGAGAACAAAACAAATAAAACTATGATAACACAACAATCAAGAAAATCCCACATTTCAGTTAAGACCATTACCCCCCCTCCCCCCAAGTATCCCGCTTTCATTCTGATCATAAAATCCCCAACTCCTGCCATTTAGAAATGAGTAGTTATAATATTGCCATTAGTATGATCAGTCTGGACAATGAAAAGTAAGATCTACTCCTGCATAACCTGAGACCCACCAGACCAAGTCTAATCTACTACTGATGACTCTAGCATTAGTAGAGGCCCATTGACCGCTGGCTTGTAATGGTTGATTTCCTACCTTGTCCACATACTTTGGTCAGATGTTTTAGACTTGAATCCCCAAGTTGGGACTTATGGGAATTAAAATGTAAACACTCCAAGGGACAAAGTTTGGGAACCATTGACTAGTTCCTTACATGTGCTATGTAATAACATTTCTGTAATGTTTCTGCAAATCCTTCTCATTGAATGCATGGGTTGTAGGTGATTTTTTGGAGCAGAAAGAGTTATAAGTCCTAGTTATGTTACAAATATGCTTGCATACGATCAGTACACAGTGTCTTTTTGTTTGCAAATGCATTCACTGATTCCCACTGTTAAGTTTAATGCCGTCCTCCGATCTCTTTGCAGTCTAGATCATCTAATTATGTACACTAATGTAAATAAGTGCCCAGATGGTATCCCCACTGGTATCTCTACAGGAGTGAAATATGAAATAGGCATGCAGGAAATTCTAAAAAAAACCCCAAGTTTTCGTTAAAATATATGGGGGAGACTAATTGCAGTCGGACACATAGGCTATGCATTTAACTTTGCATTCAACTGTATGAACAGTGCATGAAAGATGCTTCCAACTCTTTTAAGGGTAGTGAGGGAATATACATATTAGAAGTATATGCACATCCAACTGGGTATCTATAGGGAGCCTACAGGAATTTTATGATACATGTTTGGCTTTATGCAGTTATTCAGTAGGATCATGATGAGGGGAACTGTGAGACTAGGATTCTGGTCTTTTCTTCCTTCAGCTGAATGACTTTGTGCAGCCATTCAGTTGAATCCTAATTGGGGGGCTTGGAGGGGGGGGGCTGTGATATTAGGGTTCATGTATCATGATAATGTCATCAAAAGATTGCTATATTTAAACATGTGTTTTCAATATGACCACATGTAACTCTTCAATATAACTGTGTATATCATTGGTCCATTCACACTATAGAATTATAGTTGTATGATTCCAACTTAACTGTCATGGATGTATCCTATAGGACTCGCAATTTAGTGATGGACTCTTAGATTTCTTTGACCAAGGGCTCTAGTGTCTCACCAAAGTATAAATCTCATGATTTCATAGAATGGAGCCATGGGAACAAAACTGGGATCTAGCACTGTAACCATGTAGCATGAAAGGACCCCATAACGTCACAGAATAAATGCAAACACAATATGGGATGCATTTCGCTGCATCATGTCAGACTTCTGTGCCCCAAATATTCATTAATGAAAATGTGTTAGATGTCCTCTAAGGTAGCTAGTAGCTACAATTCCATTTCAGCAGTTCACAACCTTTGATCCCTTCAGCTCTCTGAATCATTGATCTTCTTGGTTGAAGTTCTGGTAGATGAAGCCCAAAAATTTTTCAGGACAAATAATTGAGGATCTCTGCTAAAAATATACCTATTTGGATCAAACGTAAAATGAAGTTTTGAGCTGAAATCATCATTCCAACCCTTGAAATGGACCACATACTGAAGGCACATGATAGACCAAACAGACTATATGTTTAATGATCTGCTGTAGAATCTTTTCTGGCATTGATGTCAAGTTAATGTCAAGCTAATTATCTGGGGCCTCCTTCTCCCCTTTCTGAAGATGGGTCCAACATTTGCTGTACTCCAGACTGCTGAGATCTCCCCTATTCTTCAGCCATTTTCAGACTCTTGGCAATGTTCCTGTGATTTCATCTGTAACGTTCTTAAGAACCTTGGGATGTAATTCATTTGGCCTGGAGATTTGAATTCATCCAGAATAGATAGATTCTCCCTTTCTACCTCATTACTATTCTAGGCTGCAGTCCTCTTGCTGGATCATTTTCTCTGTTTTGACCAGGTTTACTCTGTTTTTCTTTGGAGAGAACACTGAGATGAAGAGGACGTTAGACAACTCTGTCTTTTCCTCAGCCCCTATTAATAGCCTTTCACCATCTTCATGCAGCAGTCCTACTGTTTGTTGTTTTTCCTCTTGCTCTGAACATATGTTCAGGTCAGGCATGTAGCCGGGGGGGGGGGGGGGGGGGGGGGGGGGGGGGGGGGGGGGGGGGGGGGGGGCTTCAGCCCCCCCCCGAAATTCTCATGGTGGTTCGCGAAAAGGCCTTACTGGTGCATTATTTAAACTGTTATGTTTATTCATATCATGATCTGATCACCATACTCAATATATCCCATATGCATGGGGGTATTGGGGTAATGATACAAAAGGTTTGCTAGGCTAGACCCTCTTTCACTCAGACTCAGCCCCCCCCCCCCAAAAAAAATCAAAATTTCAATTTCTACTGAAAAAAAATTCAGCCCCCCCCCCGAAACGAAATCCTGGCTACGGGCCTGGTTCAGGTATTGCCTTTGCAAAAAGAGTTCTACATCTCTGTTGCAAGAAATGCTCATTTGGAACTCAAAGAAGGGCTGGCAAAATTCTGGATCAAGTTATAGCCTGGGAAAGTAGCTTTTTTGGATCATCAAGAACCCCTCGATCAATAGGCAAAAGCTTCCAGAAGTTGTAGTTCCTAAAAGCAGCATTTCCCTGGGCTGAATGTTATCCAGATATCATCATCACACCCTGAACCTACCTAATTCTGTCTACTTTTGTAAGCTAAGCAAGTTTGGATTGTGTTAGTACCTGGATGTAAAATGCATATTTGGGGAGAGATGGCAAATAATTCTGTCTGAAATCCTGGAGAGGCACTGCCCATCACAGTTGACAATATTGGGAAGCAAGGGTTGACAACAGCGGAAGTCTTATGCTACATTTAACACTGTAGGATCTTGGCCAACTGGACTCAGTGGCCAAGATCCTACATTGTTGAGTATAGTATAGCAATCCCACACACAGAGTTATCCTTTGGCTCACCTGTTATAACCTCCAAAACCCACTGTTTTGTTTCCAGCCTTGGCCATTCTATTGCAAAGGGGACTGGGAAAGCATCTAACCATGTTCCTGGAAACATCTTCCCCCAAGATTTGCAGGGATCCTCCTAAGGTCTCATCCAGTGGTGGCATTGGTTTGCGTCTGCCTATGGGAACATAGCCAGACCCTTCTCTTTTCCCTTCCCACTCTTCAACAGTAATGGAATGGCCATGAGGAGGGGCTTTCACAATAAGATAGTGAGTTCTGGGGGTCTTTCTGATGTTGCAGAGGTAAGAAAAGAATGAAACCTCTACAAAGACCAATATATCCCTTATCCTACTATTTGTGGCTATAATCCAAGCATCCAGTAAAGTAATCTTTCCTATGTTCCAATAACAAATACCTTGATTGTTCAGAGGAATTAAAACAGCTAAAATGTTAGATTAGATTAAAGCAGTACTTTAACAAATAAGAATTATTTCAGGAGACTTTAGGAATTTATGTGAAAGAAGTCACCCAAATTGTGTGTGTGTGTTTACGCACGTAGCAATAAACGTACAAAGGCATAAAACTCAGTTTATAAAATATTAGTATGAGTTTAATATTACATACAAACACAATAAAATATCCATAGAATTTATTAAGTTGTTTTTCACACTGCATGAACCATTATGAAATATTTAGGCTGCAATGAGATGGGAAAGCCTGTGTGCTGTCATACTATATCTGAAAATGTTATTGCAGAAGAGAAAGGTCCCTATTCATCAATATCTGTACAGACACAAATAAAAAAATATGCTTAAATTTACCAATAGGATGGCCGCAATCCAACTAAATGGCAGGCAAGCATGATTTTCCAGAAAGACTAAATCAAATTAATTTCCCCTCTGTTTGTCAAAGCACAAAAAGAAACATGTTTCTCCTTCTTATGGATGTCTAAATCAAATCTTGCTTCTATTATCTCTAATCTACTGTCTTTCATATCAATGGATCAGTGGATTCATTCTTTATTGCAGTTTGAACTTTAACAGAGCCATCCAAGATGTAGAACCATATCTCCAACATGTAAAGTTTGGATTAAAACCCAGAAGGGATTCACTGAGCTGAAAGCCACCAGCTACTACAGAATACAAACTGCTGCAAAGTGACTAGGCTCACACAAAAAGTCTTCTCAGTAGGCTTAGGCAAGAGCAAAGTTTTGCCATCTCTTCTAGCTTGTATGTTCCTCATTAATAATGTTTGCCACCTTGAGTGTACCCTGATGTTGTTTGGCTACATGAGTTCTGGTTTGCACAGCTATGAAATGATGGAGGGTATGATTTTGCTGAAGCAGCACATTTTCCTTCTTGCTGTTCATTATGTATCTTTGTGAAAACTTCTGTACTCCAGTCAACCATCTCTACCTAAGGATACCAGGGAGAATGGTTCCTGTTAGGAAACAATGTATGGTAGATGACATCTCATTTGCAGATGCATCAGATATCCCTGGCTAAGAATTCTAAATATCTATCCTTAAACTGTAAATCAATAGGATGGAGCAAGTCAAGATTACATATTTTGAAATTATTGTGTGATAATTGTGCCATTTGAAAGGACCCCTAGAAACCTAATATGGGAACCAGCTTGGTGTAGTGGTTTGACTATTGGACTATGATTCTGAAGACCAGGGTTTGGTTCCGGGCAACCTTGGGTGAGTCACACCCTCTCAGTTCCAGAAAACCCCATTATAGGTTCATATTAGGGTCATGACTTCAAGACACACAAAACAGAAAGTATTTAAGAACCAGACTATGTGCCAAAAACTCTCCATGAAGCAGAGTAGCAATTCATAATGAGCATATTATGTACCCATCTGTCTCAGAGTTTGGAAAAGTTACTTGTTTGTATTACATATATTTAATTTCCCCAGACAATCTGACCAGTGGTCAGACTGGCAGGGAGTTTCCAGTAACTGTAACCTCTCTAAAGTAATTTTTTAAAGTTTTGATTTGTTTTTAAAAG